GGGGGGCACTGGGAGAGAGGGCAGAGGGCTTGTAGGACATTGGTAGGCTTTTGAATGGCATTGGGAAGGACTGGGATGGACTGGGAGGGACTGGGAATAGACTGGGGTAGAAGGGGATTGGCTGGGAGGGTCACTTGGGAGGGACTTGGGAGATGTGGGAGTGAACTGAGAATGACTGGGAATGGACTGAGAGGGTCTGGGAGTGGAGTGAGAGGGACTGGGAAGGACTGGGAGGGACTGGGAAGGGCTCGAGCGGAACTGGGAGGCTGAGTCCTGAAAAGGGAACTCTGTGCTGCGGGTCTGCCCTGCAACCGATGAGTCATTGCAGAGACGCGCTCTGATTGGCTGAGGGTAGGGAGAGCGGTGGCCTCAGCGGGGTGGAGACGCGGGGGGGCACAGAGAGAGACTGAGATATACTGGGAGCACTGGGAAAAACTGGTCGCAATGAAATGAGGGGAAATGGGAGAGGCTGGGCCGGAGTGGGACAGGCTGCGGGGCACTGGGATGGGGCCCAACGCCACGGGCATGGGCACAGAAAGGGCTGGGGGGTCAGGGGTGATTCCCAGGGAGGGTTTCAGGGGCTCCAGGGTCGTTCCTGGGACAGAGGAATTCCCGAGGGGACCCGCTCTGCCCCGTGCTCACCTCTGCGGTTCACAAGGAACAGGGTGGAGATCTGGTAGCATTTCCGGCAGAACCAGTCCACCGCAGCCCGTCTGTCCTCCAGCAAGTCCTGTTGGCTGTTCCAGTACCTGGCCGTCTTCTCCCCAAACGGGGTGTCCTCCACATAGACCCCCACATCGCTGTCGAAGTGCACGTACTGCTGCCGGTTGTAGATGTTCCTCACCACGAGCCTCACCCGCTCAGTGCCGTTGATGAAGTGACACTCGAATTTAAACATCTCCTGGAACACCCCTGTGTGTGCAGGACACGGGTCAGGGGGTGCCTCGTGTTACCCCCCACCAGCCCCTGGCCCCCCCCAGCACGTTGGGAGCTCAGAAGGCTCCAGACCACTCTTTCCCACCCCCCTCTGCCCCACGCCTGCCGCAGCACCGGCTCTTGGCTTGGGGGGAATCCCCCAT